GGATAGATTTAAATTAAAAGTGCGATGTGTTTTAATATGGCAGAGATATTTCACTTGTCTCGCTTTATTTCCTGCCACGTTGTCTCTTTACCTTTCCTTTTAAGAAACGGAACTACGACCTATTCTGCTGTGTACCCACATCTCCAGGTTTGCGGTAGGCTGACACGATTGCTTGTTTGATTGCCGTTACATTACACTTACAACAGGGAGCCGCTGTGATGTAACGTCTAGACACTCACCTGTAGATCTGAAGGCTGGAGGTTCAATTCTGATCGGAGCCTGACTTTTTTTCCCCCAGAAAAGATCTTGGCTCCGAGGCCGACCCAGCCTTAAATGGGTACGGGGTAGAGACCTAGGAAGTAAAGGCGACCGACGTAATGATGACTACATTACTCACTGGGTGACGTTTGGTCTGTAAAATGTAGCCCTTAATGTCAAATAACCTGAAGGCTTGGACAAGAGTCGTTCACTTTTTCTTTGTCACCTACAATCACATTTTCTTTGTCACCTACAATCACATTTTCTTTGTCACCTACAATCACATTTTCTTTGTCACCTACAATCACATTTTCTTTGTCACCTACAATCACATTTTCTTTGTCACCTACAATCACTTTTTCTTTGTCACCTACAATCACATTTTCTTTGTCACCTACAATCACTTTTTCTTTGTCACCTACAATCACTTTTTCTTTGTCACCTACAATCACTTTTTCCTTTGTCACCTACAATCACATTTTCTTTGTCACCTACAATCACATTTTCTTTGTCACCTACAATCACATTTTCTTTGTCACCTACAATCACATTTTCTTTGTCACCTACAATCACTTTTTTGTCACCTACAATCACATTTTCTTTGTCACCTACAATCACATTTTCTTTGTCACCTACAATCACATTTTCTTTGTCACCTACAATCACATTTTCTTTGTCACCTACAATCACTTTTTCTTTGTCACCTACAATCACATTTTCTTTGTCACCTACAATCACATTTTCTTTGTCACCTACAATCACATTTTCTTTGTCACCTACAATCACATTTTCTTTGTCACCTACAATCACATTTTCTTTGTCACCTACAATCACATTTTCTTTGTCACCTACAATCACATTTTCTTTGTCACCTACAATCACATTTTCTTTGTCACCTACAATCACTTTTTCCTTGTCACCTACAATCACATTTTCTTTGTCACCTACAATCACATTTTCTTTGTCACCTACAATCACTTTTTCCTTGTCACCTACAATCACATTTTCTTTGTCACCTACAATCACATTTTCTTTGTCACCTACAATCACATTTTCTTTGTCACCTACAATCACTTTTTCCTTGTCACCTACAATCACATTTTCTTTGTCACCTACAATCACTTTTTCTTTGTCACCTACAATCACTTTTTCTTTGTCACCTACAATCACTTTTTCTTTGTCACCTAAAATCACTTTTTCTTTGTCACCTACGATCACACGAAGATTTTAAAGACGTCCTGAATATTAAAAAAAAAAAAAAGTTAGAAATACCAGGTGTTTGTTTAGGAACGAAACAGAAAAGCCCTTGTATATAATTAAACAGAACATGTTAAAAAAAACAAAAAACATGAAAGGTAGTTCTACTAATCACCCCATGCTAATCTAGGGTTTCCGCGTGAATGGATTGTTTCTGTAATTGAGATGTATTTTTAGATTTGGAATTTGTTTCTGTCCTGGTGCGCGCGCGTGTGTGTGTGTGTGTGTGTGTGTGTGTGTGTGTGAGAGAGAGAGAGAGAGAGAGAGAGAGAGAGAGAGAGAGAGAGAGAAAATGCATGCTGAAATGCCAGATTACCAATTAGACATATCTTGCTAACAAGTTCCTTTAATTTTTAGCCAATTTATTTCTTCTTGAATTGTCCCTGTAAGCTCCAGCTTTCTCTTGATTTCTCTGTTCCTTACCCTATGTCCCCAATACTTTGTGTCTATTTCTTTCTGATAGTTTTCGGTGTTTTTGTGTGTCTCTTTGTCAGTATCTCTTTTTTTTTTACATCCCTTGTATAATTATCTGTTTCATTTTATGTCTCTGCCTCTCTTTTGCTGTCTGTATTTGTGTGTCCCTTCCTGTTCCTACTATTCTCACTGTCCCTTGTTTTGCTGTCTGTTATTGTTTGATGTATCTTTTTTTCTGTATGTTTTTCTTTATGCATCTCTCTGCTACGGTCACTCTCTCCATCTGCCCCTGAGCTTCTCCTTGTTACTCACTTCATCTGCTTTTGTACATCTGTCTTCCTATTAATACACTGTCTGTGTCACTATCTCACTCTCACTCTCTGCCCATCTATTATTTATTTGTTTCTGTGTCTTTATGGTAAAAACTGCCATAGTAACTTACAGAAAGCAGCAGTGGAAGACATGGTTCCTCGGAGCAGAGGCAGGGCAGCATACTGGTGGTCATCAGAGATTGGAGACACCTTTTGGACATTCTGTGAAGGATCTGCTACATGGCAGGCTATGAGAGTGACTTTCTGTGAAGGACCTGCTACATGGCAGGCTATGATGAGAGTGACTTTCTGTGAAGGACCTGCTACATGGCAGGCTATGATGAGAGTGACTTTCTGTGAAGGACCTGCTACATGGCAGGCTATGATGAGAGTGACTTTCTGTGAAGGATCTGCTACATGGCAAGCTATGATGAGAGCAACTTTCTGTGAAGGATCTGCTAAATGGCAGGCTATGATGAGAGGGATTTTCTGTGAAGGACCTGCTACATGGCAGGCTATGATGAGAGTGACATTCTGTGAAGGATCTGCTACATGGCAGGCTATGATGAGAGCAACTTTCTGTGAAGGACCTGCTAAATGGCAGGCTATAATGAGAGCAACATTCTGGGAAGAATCTGCTACATGGCAGGCTATGATGAGAGTGACATTATGTGAAGGACCTGCTAAATGGCAGGCTATGATGAGAGCAACTTTCTGTGAGGGATCTGCTACATGGCAGGCTATGATGAGAGCAATTTTCTGTGAAGGATCTGCTACATGGCAGGCTATGATGAGAGTGACATTATGTGAAGGATCTGCTACATGGCAGGCTATGATGACAGTGACATTATGTGAAGGATCTGCTACATGGCAGGCTATGATGAGAGTGACATTATGTGAAGAATCTGCTACATAGCAGGCTATGATGAGAGTGACATTATGTGAAGGATCTGCTACATGGCAGGCTATGATGACAGTGACATTATGTGAAGGATCTGCTACATAGCAGGCTATGATGAGAGTGACATTATGTGAAGGATCTGCTACATGGCAGGCTATGATGACAGTGACATTATGTGAAGGATCTGCTACATGGCAGGCTATGATGACAGTGACATTATGTGAAGGATCTGCTACATGGCAGGCTATGATGAGAGTGACATTATGTGAAGGATCTGCTACATGGCAGGCTATGATGAGAGTGACATTCTGTGAAGGATCTGCTACATGGCAGGCTATGATGAGAGTGACATTATGTGAAGGACCTGCTACATGGCAGGCTATGATGAGAGTGACATTATGTGAAGGATCTGCTACATGGCAGGCTATGATGAGAGTGACATTATGTGAAGGATCTGCTACATGGCAGGCTATGATGAGAGTGACATTATGTGAAGAATCTGCTACATGGCAGGCTATGATGAGAGTGACATTATGTGAAGGATCTGCTACATGGCAGGCTATGATGAGAGTGACATTATGTGAAGGACCTGCTACATGGCAGGCTATGATGAGAGTGACATTATGTGAAGAATCTGCTACATGGCAGGCTATGATGAGAGTGACATTATGTGAAGGATCTGCTACATAGCAGGCTATGATGAGAGTGACATTATGTGAAGGACCTGCTACATGGCAGGCTATGATGAGAGTGACATTATGTGAAGAATCTGCTACATGGCAGGCTATGATGAGAGTGACATTATGTGAAGGATCTGCTACATGGCAGGCTATGATGAGAGTGACATTATGTGAAGGACCTGCTACATGGCAGGCTATGATGAGAGTGACATTATGTGAAGAATCTGCTACATGGCAGGCTATGATGAGAGTGACATTAAGTGAAGAATCTGCTACATAGCAGGCTATGATGAGAGTGACATTATGTGAAGAATCTGCTACATGGCAGGCTATGATGAGAGTGACATCATGTGAAGGATCTGCTACATAGCAGGCTATGATGAGAGTGACATTATGTGAAGGATCTGCTACATGGCAGGCTATGATGAGAGTGACATTATGTGAAGGATCTGCTACATGGCAGGCTATGATGAGAGTGACATTATGTGAAGGATCTGCTACATGGCAGGCTATGATGAGAGTGATATTATGTGAAGGATCTGCTACATAGCAGGCTATGATGAGAGTGACATTATGTGAAGGATCTGCTACATGGCAGGCTATGATGAGAGTGACATTATGTGAAGGATCTGCTACATGGCAGGCTATGATGAGAGTGACATTATGTGAAGGATCTGCTACATGGCAGGCTATGATGAGAGTGACATTATGTGAAGAATCTGCTACATGGCAGGCTATGATGAGAGTGACATTCTGTGAAGGATCTGCTACATGCCGGGCTAGGATGAGAGTGACATTATGTGAAGGACCTGCTACATGGGGATGGTGGCTGTGGTTGCAAGTTTTTATTTGTTTGGTTAAGCTGCAGTTAACAGTTAATCTATTATAAAATACAATCTAACTGACCCTTTGACATAACCAAATCAGGCATATTCTTATAGACCACCTTTATAAATAACTTCCAGCCGAGAAGGTGAACCGGGTCAACAAATGCTTGCAGAAGTTGGATGTCTCGGCCGAACTGCACAAATATCGCAGCCATCTGTAAATGGGCACAACACAGTTACATCTTTGGATGAACACAGAAAAAAAAACACATAACTTCTATTTTCTCAGTATATATAGAGTCCTTTTTCTCTTTATTTATAACTTCCTTTTTTCTCTTTGCTCTGTTTTCAGAACTTCTATAAAGACAGTCGCCGAGATATGTACATCCGTTACATCTCTCGCTTGTATGAACTGCATTATTCTGCCAGCAACTTTGTGGAAGCCGGCTTGACCCTGCGACTGTATGCACAGCTGCTGTCATGGTCCAAGGTTATGCAGCCGGAGGAGATGTCCTATCCACTTCAGACGGAGGCTGAGAGAAAGGAGGAGTTGTTCACTCGGATCATGGACTGCTTTGACAGGGGAAAAGTGTGTACTGTAGGCTAGGCACTGTGTGTGTGAGTGTGCATGGTAAAGAGAGGTGGGAGTGAGAGGAAGGAGGAGTTGTTCACTCGGATCATGGACTGCTTTGACAGGGGAAAAGTGTGTACTGTAGGCTAGGCACTGTGTGTGTGTGTGTGTGCATGGTAAAGAGAGGTGGGAGTGAGTGAGTGAGAGGAAGGAGGAGTTGTTCACTCGGATCATGGACTGCTTTGACAGGGAAAAAGTGTGTACTGTAGGCTAGGCACTGTGTGTGTGTGTGTGTGTGTGTGTGTGTGTGTGTGTGTGTGTGTGTGTGTGTGTGCGCGCGCGCGCGCGCGCGCGCGCCCGCATGGTAAAGAATGGTGGCAGTGAGTGAGTGAGAGGAAGGAGGAGTTGTTCACTTGGATCATGGACTGCTTTCTTTGACAGGGGAAATGTGTACTGTAGGCTAGGCACTGTGTATGTGTGCATGGTAAAGAGAGGTGGGAGTGAGTGAGTGACAGGAAGGAGGAGTTGTTCACTTGGATTATGGACTGCTTTGACAGGGGAAAGGTGTGTACTGTAGGCTAGGCACTGTGTGTGTGTTTGGTAAAGAGTGGTGGGAGTGAGTGAGAGGAAGGGTGAACAAGAAAGCGAGTAAGAGAGAGAAATTAAGTGGGTGAGGAAGAAAGTGAATTAATGACAAAGAGAGTAAGAGTGACAAAATGATTAACAGAGAATGTCTGACTGATGTGAAAAATGGTGTGAATAAGTGAAAAGAGAGTGACTGAGGTAAATAAAGTGAGCGAAGAAGATTAAATGTGTGAGAGGAAGAGAAGAATACCTCATAACTTCATCTATATCTATGAATCATAAGAGTGCCACAGTGAATATGCTGTTAATCAGTCTCCAGTTGGCTATTCTTCAACCTCTCTCTGGTAGATGCAAATGCAAATCCTTTTTTAAGTAAATGACCTGACCACCTTTAGATCACCCTAGTGCCGAATGGTCTGTAAAAATATGGGTGCTCTTCCCATAAGCCAGATGTGCCTAAAAGGCGTGAAAAGAGATCTTTTTTATTTATTTTACCTTTGGATCACACTGAAGAGTTAATTATTTAGTTTGTTATTTATTTACCAACAATCCACATAAATCTGTTGAAGATGAAGCCTATATCCTAGTTGAACCCTGACCTGGTTATGTTCTAAAATGCCTCTCCACAAATGTAAAATGGTCTCTGCAGCCTTCTGCTTGCTGTAGAACTAGCGGCACATTCGTGTAGTAATTGCAACTGACTCCCAGAGCATATTGAGAAAGATGGAGACAGGTATGCTGCATGTAGAGTGGGCAGCTTTGCTTCAAAGGTCCCAGGTAGTTAACACCCTTTGTATATTGTCACCAGGGCATGCCAGTTTGCTGGGAAATAAACAGACAGACTGGTGGGTTCTGTACAACGTGGTGAGGAATTGATACACAACAAGCTAGATGTTAAAAGGGCCCTTTGTGGGTGAGTGAACATACTGGGGGCAAAAATAGACTGATGAGAATGGTGCTGCAAGGAGTGACCAAGGGATTTGGCAGACGCTCAACACCCAGGAAAAAGGCAAGATCGATATGTAATCAGACAGTTAGCAGTACTACTGAAATTGGAACATTTTGCTGAAGATGAGGATAGAGCACTCTTGGAAATGTCTAGATTGATGTGATGTCAATTTAATGAAACATTAAACATGAAGTTCCAGTGTCTGCTTCAGTGCACAGCTGTTTTGATATAGCAGCTTCTGCAGCATGCTTGATTTCAGACATTGCCTTCCCTTGGGAATTAACAAAGCAGAGATGAATCATCATGCTGCATGGGCAAACGCGTGGTCTCTACAATACTGTCTAACATTGTTTCTATGAGAGAGGAGAAACTTCATCCCTGGCTTTAAATAGTATTGTCCTGGTCTGTGATTCTCATGCCTATAGCAGAGGGAAATACTTTTTTGTGTGGAAATACTGGAAGGCTCCAGCAAAGTACCTGCCTTGCACATACTGCTGGTTTCTGAGTTAGAGCAGGGAAAGTGGAGCTCTGCAGCACATTGATTAGTGAAATGTTGGTACTTTGGTGTTGGGTTGAGAGAGAAGTCCCTACACCAACGGCAGTCTGATAGAGGCAGGTCTTATTTTTTAAATGAACTAAGTCTCCTTGGTTGAGTTGAAGATACCATCACTACTGTTACAAAGCACATGATTCACTACACACTAGTTATCCCCAACGGTGCTTAGTCTTCTTTAGCAGTGTGTCAACAAAGGATAGGAGGTATTGATTTGAATTGGCTCACTACCTATGCTCCGCTGAGAGAACCTCCAAAGAGCCTATGCTCCTAGGGCAGAAGAAAAACTTGTAAGAATTATTTAAGTGTTTAAATTGAAGAAGAGTAGAGTGGTTAGAGTGCTGGGCTGTAATATGAAAGACTCAGGTTTGATCCTTGGTAAAGGATAGTGGCAATTTTTTTTTTTTCTGTCAAGAGACAACAAAAATCCTAACCTTTGAAGATCCTGGTGACTTCACTGCCCACAAAGTCTTAAATGCTCATTCTCACGACCCCTTCCCTGGCCCCTCCACTTGTACACCTTATGGTCATACACCGCCCTAAAGGTGTTAAATGTTACCAGTAAAGAAAAGAGTTATTTAACTTGAAACATTCTCCACTACTACTATCTTCAGGCCTGGGAATACGGTATTCCACTATGTAAAGAGCTGGCTGAGTATTATGAGAAGACATTCCAGTACAGGAAGCTTGGGCAGATCTTGGTGAGTGGCCAGCTGGTGTTCATCCATTATTTACAGTGTCTGAAGGTTATCATTATAAGTTTAGTGTCAAATGAAAATCTGTTTATTATTTACAGTGTCTGAAGGTTATCATTATAAGTTAAGTGTCAAATGAAAATTTGTTTATTATTTACAGTGTCTGAAGATTATCTTTATAAGTTTAGTGTCAAATGAAAATCTGTTTATTATTTACAGTGTCTGAAGATTATCTTTATAAGTTTAGTGTCAAATCAAAATCTGTTTATTATTTACAGTGTCTGAAGATTATCTTTATAAGTTTAGTGTCAAAAGAAAATCTGTTTATTATCTACAATGTCTGAAGATTATCATTATAAGTTGAGTGCCAAATGAAAATCTGTTTATTATTTACAGTGTCTGAAGATTATCTTTATAAGTTTAGTGTCAAATCAAAATCTGTTTATTATTTACAGTGTCTGAAGATTATCTTTATAAGTTTAGTGTCAAAAGAAAATCTGTTTATTATCTACAATGTCTGAAGATTATCATTATAAGTTTAGTGCCAAATGAAAATCTGTTTATTATTTACAGTGTCTGAAGATTATCTTTAAAAGTTTAGTGTCAAAAGAAAATCTGTTTATTATTTACAGTGTCTGAAGATTATCTTTATAAGTTTAGTGTCAAATGAAAATCTGTTTATTATTTACAGTGTCTGAAGGTTATCATTATAAGTTGAGTGCCAAATGAAAATCTGTTTATTATTTAGTGTCTGAAGATTATCTTTATAAGTTTAGTGTCAAATGAAAATTTGTTTATTATTTACAGTGTCTGAAGATTATAAGTTTAGTGTCAAATGAATATCTGTCCATTATTTACAGTGTCTGAAGATTATACGTTTAGTGTCAAATGAATATCTGTCCATTATTTACAGTGTCAGAAGATTATCGTTATAAGTTTAGTGTTAAATGAAAATCTGTCCAGTATTATAGTATTCAGGAAACAGAGTAACATAGTGGCTGGAGGCTACACTGAAGGCCTTGGGTTTGAACCCTGACCATGGTGACTTTTTTCCTCCAAAATTAACATAGTTGCCAGGTTGACCCAACCTAAAATCTATATCAGGAAATGTCCTAGGAATGTCCTGGCCAGTGTGATGTTGACCATGTCAACCACCTAGTGCTGATTGGTCTATTCAAATAAGGGCTTGACATATGCCCAGTGTTTAAAAAAAAGATGTTGGGGTCCTTTCATTTTTCTTATGTAAAATGGTCAGAAGATTGTCATACCTTAAGTATTAAATTAAATCACAGATCATGTCAGGGCTCTTGTCTTACCCCCATCCATATATGAGTAAATTGTTATTTAAAATATCTGTAATAATTTAATTGTAGTGTAATTTAATGTTTATAGTTTCTTTGTCTTTGTTATTTAGAGGATTTCTTTTGTATATTACTGATATTTGCAGCAAAAACAGGCATCTTTCTTGAACCAGATTTTGGAAGGTCATAAACTACGGCAAGACCCCAGCTACTACAGAGTTGCATACTATGGAAACACCTTTCCACCATATCTGAAGGTGAGTTTGTGATAGGGTGTGTTTATACTGTCAGTTTGTGATAGTTTGTTTATACTGGAAGTTTGTGATGCAAATAAATTTATACAGGTGTGGATCAGTTGAGACTAGAGAAACAATATAATAAATGCATTGGTATGTTTTGACTGGTGCCCCTAGAAAGCAGTAGAGACAGGAGGACAGACAAAACAGTTTAAAAAACAAAAACTATAATTACCATACTGGGAATCAAATCTGTCACCTCCACATTTTGACCACGTCACTGCAAGAACAGATGTTTATCCATGCATGGCTGACCCCAGGAGAGTGCCAACCAATACATGTCAGTTTGTTTGTTACATGTCGGTTTGTTTGTTATACAGTTTGTGGTAGATCAGGTCTTTAAAAAACAAAAACCCGGCAGTCCTCCAGGAAACAAAACATAATCAGATTTATTCCATAAATTAGGTAAAGACAGCCAAGATATTTTGGGCATGTTGTTGTGGCAACCTGTGTTGTTGTAGCAACCTGAGTTGTCATAGCAACCTGAGTTGTTGTATGCATGTGAGACATGGACAGTAAGCAGACCAGCTGGAAAACACCTACTGGCAGTAGAGATGAGAATATAATGGAATAAAAGAAAAGCAAACGCAGCAGTCCTCAAGATAAATGGAAACTGTAAGCTTATTAGAGAAGGTAGACATAAGCAGTCAAGGTTTTATGTGTGTGTGCGTAAATGCTTGTGTGTGTGTGTGTGTGTGTGTGCACACGTGCATGTTTGTGTGTGTGTATGTGCGTGCATTCTTGTGTGTGGACATGTTTTGAGGAGGATTGGCTGGGAAAGCAAAGAGATACATTCCTGGATGGTTTGGTCATGTGCAGGGGTGTGAGACAAGAGCTATGACCTGATCTGTGATTGATTCTTTTGATCCCCTGTGGTTGCAGAAGATGACCATTCATGCTTATGGGCAGTGCACATGATGATTGAGAGCAGATAAAAACATTGCGATAACTGGTAAAGTGAAGATGAGAAATTTACATAGGGAAGAAGGCAAGAAGATATAAATACAGTGTTGCCTAAGCATACATTTGCTTTGGTATACATTCGGCTTGGTATAGGACCTTTCCTTGGTTTGCGAACTTGTGTGAGTCAAAATTACTTATAATACCATGCTCTATCTTTGCTTACCTCTTTTGAGACAAAACCATGCATTGGTATCAATGACTTTGCAGAGAAGTATCACCGCAACAAAGCCCAAACAAGCCATACATTGATATCCATGACTTTGCAGAGAAGTATCACCGCAACAAAGCCCAAACAAGCCATACATTGATATCCATGACTTTGCAGAGAAGTATCACCTCAACAAAGCCCAAACAAGCCATACATTGATATCCATGACTTTGCAGAGAAGTATCACCGCAACAAAGCCCAAACAAGCCATACATTGATATCCATGACTTTGCAGAGAAGTATCACCCCAACAAAGCCCAAACAAGCCATGCATTGATATCCATGACTTTGCAGAGAAGTATCACCGCAACAAAGCCCAAACAAGCCATACATTGATATCCATGACTTTGCAGAGAAGTATAACCTCAACAAAGCCCAAACAAGCCATACATTGATATCCATGACTTTGCAGAGAAGTATCACCGCAACAAAGCCCAAACAAGCCATACATTGATATCCATGACTTTGCAGAGAAGTATCACCGCAACAAAGCCCAAACAAGCCATACATTGATATCCATGACTTTGCAGAGAAGTATCACCTCAACAAAGCCCAAACAAGCCATACATTGATATCCATGACTTTGCAGAGAAGTATCACCTCAACAAAGCCCAAACAAGCCATACATTGATATCCATGACTTTGCAGAGAAGTATCACCGCAACAAAGCCCAAACAAGCCATAAATAGCATCACCACAAATCATCAGACAGGTCACATTTCCCAAACATCTTAAGGAGAAGGCAGAAGCAAAGTTCTTTGGTCAGATGTTTAGCAAAAGTCAAACCTGGTGAGCTCCAGCTAGGCCTGGGTAGCAACAAAAAAAGAGAGGAAAAAAAAAGAAATAGGAAAAACACCAGAATTTCAGATTCCCAAAGTTTTGTTGGAACAGGACTCTCCTTCCAGACAATAACATCTTCTCCTTTCTCAGTACCATCCTAGTAGGCACTCAACTCTTCTCAGACAGGTGAAGTAAGGTTAAGTTTTCACTTATTTCATCTAATTGCTTTTGTATTTATGTATTTCAGTATTAGGCAGTATATGAATTATTTATACAACCCCATCAATGTATAATATGCCAGTAAACGGATTAATCCTTCTCCCTTTTATTTCTTATGGGGAAAAAGCATTTGGTACACATACTGTTTAGTAAACGTTCAAGGATCAGAAAGGGATTAGATATGAATACCAATGTACCACTGTACTTGGATGGCTTGGCCTAACCACATAGCATATTGGGGGCAAATCACTATTAGATCATCTTAACCTGAAGAGATTGGTGGAGCCACCAGTGAGCAGGGGATCAGTCCAGCACTCAAGGGAATAGCAAGGCAGACGTACACTCAGGCTGCTACTGATAACACTGGATCTGTAACTTTAAGCCGGCTGCTGAAGATGAGTATGGAGTGCTTATGGGAATCATGTTGGTTCTTTACTCAGCTACTAATGAAGACAAAAACACAAATATAATTCAGGATGCTGATGATTGCAGGAGAAAGGGAAGCATGGCTGTATGTACCTATTGTCAACAGTAGAATGTAAGAACATGTCCTGTCAAGACATGTGAATGCAGAGCCTCTGTGTTCGATCATGGATGCAGATTTTCTGAGAGGCCTGACAGTAAAGCTGAAGGATATTATGTATTCATATTTGTAATTATATCATTCTCAGTTTGTGTCTTATACTGATGGAGGCTTTCTAGCTGCAGTCTTTAATTTTTCATTTATCAGTGTAGCATTGTAAAGCTGACTAGTTTGACTTTTTATTTGAATTGACATTTTTGGTACTGAAAATTGAAACTACCTCATCATATATTTTTTTTTCAAACTCAGAACAAAGCATTTATTTATCGTGGAGATGAATGTCTGAAACTGGCCACTATCATGAGCCAGTTAACGACTGAATACCCTTCAGCCACCATTCTCACGACCAACTCGCCGCCCAATGAATCTTTGAAACATGGAGATGCACAGTGTGAGTTGTTGTTTTATTTTTTGGTTAATATTTATGTTTTTTCTTTTCATATTTTTTTTTCTGATACTCAAGGTACTGGTTGTTTTTATCATTTAAAAAAAAAAAACACACACTAGTGGACACTGATTTCAAATATTCAGATAAATGTTGCTTTTAGAATTTACAGCCTAATTTTATTATCTCTAACTGCAGACGAATAATTTTAACGTAGACACTTTTTTCACTTTAAAATAAATAAATAATACTTGAAAAGGCTACATATAAAAAATAACCACCATTGGGTCAAAGATGATCCTCATCCGAATGGTGGCACTTTGTGTCACTTTGTGTTTATTGCTCAAGTGTGATAACCTGGTGGGGTTGAACGTCAATCAAAATGAAATGTTGCAACAACAACAAAAAAGTGTTTACTTCCGCCCCAATGTGGGACGTAATTTTTCATAATTGCAAAGCCCCACCTTGGCTGTAGTCAGGGGCGGTAATATAACCTTATTGTTGAATGGGGTTTCTAGGACTTGTGCTGGAGTGCTCCTTATCAGAAGGGTGGCACTTTGTGTCACGGGGTGTTGGTTGCTCGTACGGTCCTGGTGTGGTTGAATCACATACAACCACTGTTACAAAAGTAGAACATCAGCACAGAACATCCAAATATCGGATGCAGTTTTATTGTTGTTTTAAAGCCACAGCCCCACTAATATAACCCAACCTATGGGTTGAATGGGGTTGTCTGGGACCTGTCCCCTGTGGGATTCATCCGAATGCTGTAACATTGTGTCACCAGGTGTTTATCACTCGGTGGGGTGTCCTAGTGGGGCTGAACCTTAATTACTCAAATTTGTTACAAAAGTATGAGGTCTGCAGCACACTTTTGAAAAAAATAAAAGGTCCACAGGTCTTGCTAATTGACCATTGCTGTAAAGGATTTGTAACTAATTTGTCATGTCTGTGGGTTTTTAAAATGAAATTTCTCATGTCTTGTTGTGTCATAGAATGTTATCTTGTGTTATTACAATCAACATCACTGCACATTAGGCATTACTATGTGTACTCAGTCCTCATTTGCAGTAGCCACGCCAAAATACCTCTTCCTGTTGCTACCTTAGAGTTGGTAGAGTTAGACATCAAAGAGTTGGTTATGATGTCTCCTATCTCAGCCTCGGGGGATGGCATAGACGGGCTTCACAATGCTTTACTCCCAGGTCACGCAATTGTGTTAGTGTCAGAGATTCCTCATTATCCACTAGCCTAGACCCTGCAGTGTTTATATCTGCTTTCTCCATGCTTCTCCCTGCATGCGTTGGTGCATGCTTGCCAGTTGGGTTCCACACTCATTACCTTGTATCCAGGCATGGCCACATGTATAGGATCTAGGTAAGGGAGGTGAAGTGCAATTTTCGAGCGCTTTCTACTACTTGTTGTGATTTTCTGAAGCATGTTAATGGAGTCTGACATAATTACTGCATGTGTAACTTCTGGTTCTTCTGCCCATGCTAGTGCTGAAAGCAGTAGTTAGTTTTACAGAATTATTTCCACAACTACTGCTTGTCCACAGATATCCAGATTGTCAGCGTCAAACCTATCCCTGCTGAACGGCCAGAGTTTGTTGGCAAGGAAGTCCCTAGTGAAATCTCCTGTTTCTACAACACTAATGAGGTGGACACATTCCAGTTTGACAGGCCGTACCACCGGGAAGGCAAGGACCCAAACAATGAGTTCAAGGTCAGTCCAGCAGGTTGAAGGACATAATAGGGCAGAGTTACTTTAATAGTGTGAAAAGTAAATGACTTTGTTTATGGTTTTATTACAGCTGGGCGAAGCAGTGGAAAGAGCTTGGAGCTGGCTATGGACACAGCAGAACGTTGTGGAGGATGGGCCTTGATAAACCAATCTGCACATAATGTGGTATAGAACCTTATGTCCCTTTAAACCCAGAGTGTCCAACAAAACTACTGCCAGTGTTTCTCTGCCATTTGCCAAAGTCTATCATCTGTCCGATCATCCAGGTGTGAGCTTGTCACTCTGGTCATGAAGGTAGGCAGCTAATTTGCTACCGCAGCGACACATATATATATATATATAAAACACCAAATCTCACAATACCTGTTGCATAGTCACCATTTCCTCTTGTCCCTATCTGAAGGTCTCAAGAAGAAAGGGAAGATCAAGGCCTGGCTTCATGAACCAGGTCGGTCCACCTTCTGAGATTGTATAGGAAGTAATGGATCAAAAACAATCGTCAACAAGGGGACTTTCTATTAATGATTGATGGACTGCAGCTGCGCATGCTTCCCTGTGGAGTGCTTGTTATTATTGCAGGAAATGATTTTCTTTCTGAACTCTGCAAAACCAGTGTGGGGTGTAAAATGTGAAGGATTATATATGTCTCTTTATAGCAAAGCTTGTAGTAGGCAGCCATTAGTCTCTTGTGATCATAGAACTGTGCCGTTGGTGTTTGGAGCAGCGCCTGGTCTGTGAAGGGTTGCTGGAGTAACCTGTCCAGAACACAGGCATGAACATGATGGAGCCCAGGCTGTTGCCCAGGCAGGTTTCCCCTCTCTACATCGGTGGTTATGCCAAGGGAAGGGACAGGTGTCCCCACAGTTGGTATCGAAGACATTGCCAGAGCCAGTCTGGTGGTAAACACTGTTGAACCACTTAGGAATTCCAGCTGCATTTTCTTCCTCAGGAAACACTCACACATCACTTTCCCAATTTAGAGTATTGCAAGATGGCGAGGGTTTGAGATTAGAGATTGTCCTTCTCCTTAAATGAGCTAGATTTCTGTGCTGATGAACCTCATCTGCCCAAGGTTTGAAATAACATAGCATAAGACAGTCCGAATGAGCACAACAACATAGCATAAGACAGTCCGAATGAGCACAATAACATAGCATAAGACAGTCCGAATGAGCACAATAACATAGCATAAGACAGTCCGAATAAGCACAATAACATAGCATAAGACAGTCCGAATAAGCACAATAACATAGCATAAGACAGTCCGAATGAGCACAATAACATAGCATAAGACAGTCTCGAATGAGCACAACAATATAGCATAAGACAGTCCGAATAAGCACAACAACATAGCATAAGACAGTCCGAATGAGCACAATAACATAGCATAAGACAGTCCGAATAAGCACAATAACATAGCATAAGACAATCTCAATGATCACAGTAACAAAGCATAAGACAGTCTGAATCAGCAAAATAACATAACATAAGACATTCCGAATAAGCACAAACAAATATCTGACACAAAGTATATTTCATTATCACTCTCTGCTACCAGTGCTAGACATTGTCATTCACACAAAAAAAAACCAGAACAGAAAATGAGTATCCATGAAAATTAGATGTCTGAGAAAAGCTGCGGGAGTGACTAGAAAAGATAAAATCAGGAATGAAGTCATAAAAAAGTCAGCACAGAACCAATTCTAAATTACAAAGATAGCAAATCGAATGGTTTTTCTACTTAGAGAGAATGTTTTATGATGCCATACCATTCAAGGTATACATCAAAAGAATAGAGGGATGTAGACCACGAGGTAGACCAAGAACAAAATGGAAAGATATTATCAGAGAAACTTTACAAAAATATGTATATGTGTCTGTGGTTGAGATGGCCAAAAGAGCAAGCAGCAAAACCTTATGTTTTCCTCCACACCAAAAGTGGGTTGTTTGCTTGCTCTTTGGCTCACTCTTGTTTTTTTTTTCCATTTAAATTTTTTTTTATTGGTGAGGGAGGTGTTAAATTATCTTGAAAATCTAAACATTTTTTCTTTGAAACAGACTTTGTGTTTGGAGCGGACAATTATACAGACTTCATACAAGTTGCCAGGAATCCTCCGATGGTATGAGGCCATTAGTACACGTGTGGTACAGCTGACCCCGGTGCAGACAGCTACAGACACAGTCATACAGATGAATGCCGAGCTGAGGTCCAGCACAGAGAACGCTCGCCTGAACCCTGACCAGTTCCTTCGACATCTGGAGATGCGACTGCAAGGGGTGATCAGTGGTGCTGTCAATGGCGGCATTCCCAAATATCAGGAGGTGATTTTGGAGCTTTGTTTACATTTATGTGTGTTCATTTCAATTTATTGATGTTTTCCTTCTTCTTTCTGTTTCCTTTTCTTTATATTCTGTTTTTTTTTTTTTTCACCTTTAAAAAAAATGCAAACTGAACATTTCTGTGTCAGTAAAGTTGTAATGGGTAGGCTTTAATTATCAGCTATACTGGCAGCAAATTAAAAATTGCATAAGCTAACCACAGTACAATATTTACTGCATATGAAGCTCTTATATTTTAAGTGAAAGTCAAGGGGGAAAATGACTACATTAATTTCTTCAAGACTTAGTTTAGTCGCCAGGAAAGATTTCTGCAGTCTCCAAGAAAGCAGGGTTTAAAGTCAAGGTGATTAACTAAATTTCACCAGATTCTGTCCCATAGAGCTCATTCTCTCTCTGCAGAACAGCAAGCCTCCTGCATAGAGTTGCACAAAGCACAGACTCCAGAGCTTCAGTGATGATTCCAAAAGTCTTGGTAAAAATTGCACTCAGGAACCGAACAACACAACTCTATGAAGCAAACAGACAACCTTTAAAGCATGAGGTGCATTGCTTAGCCACAGAGACGACCATTTTGCCAAGATAGATTTGGGCTAGTGTTTAGAAAATTGTATATTCCCATCTTCTGATTGAATAACCTTAGCCACATCTGAATGATTGATACAGATTAGTTAAGACATGTAATGTAATGAAATAACTTTTGTCTCCCATGTGCCTTTACTGTTGTGTGTATTTGTTTATACTATGTTTTTTATTTTGCTGCTGCAGGCATTCTTCAATGAGGAATATGTGATCAGATACCCAGCGGAGGCCACTCACATTGAAAAGTTAAAGTCGGTTATCTTGGAACAGGTGAGTAGCTTCATTTGATTGTCATCCTTACTTGCACAGGACTGCAGCTGCAGCAGGCTGGTGTAGCTGTTTTAGTGGCCCAGCTGTAACGTCTTTTAAGGTTGAAGGGGATATCTGGAATTTGCCTTATTTGTCTGACATCTGCATTGAAATTTTGTAAATTGTTCAAATATTTATATTTATATATATTGCTTCTGCAGATTGAGTTGCTAGAGCAAGGTCTAACCATCCATGGTCAGTTTGCCAGCACAGAGATGCAGCCCTTACACAGAAGCCTGGTGGATATGTTTGTCAAGATGAGGAAAAGCATGGGCTATCAGGTAAGTTGAAGCGCTCAACTACAGATACAGGTGATCCCATCTCGAGCAGTGTGAACACTTAAACAGACACTTTTTACACCAGTGGCACATCAGGCATGTGATGCTAGCGTCCTGTTTTTATGGACCAGTTGGCGCTTGATGGGTGGGCCAGGGATCAACATCATGCTGACTACCTTTACTTCTCAGAGATTACCTGTTACCCGTTTTAGTCTGGTGACCTGTAAACTAAGGTTAGTTTAGAATTAAAAATCTGCCTCGATATGGATTTAAACCCAAGACTTTTGGACCAACAGGTAAGTGTCTAGCCACCATGCAACAGCAGCCCCCTCCCTTACCCCAGTGTGCGAATACTTGCTTAGATGAATATATTAGCAAATATTGATGTGGGTTCATGGGACCAGGATGCCACCGCCCATGTTGCACGGAAGGAATAGTAATAGAGGAGAAAGTAACTGCAGGTGAGAGGTGAGCAGCTGAGAAGAAGCCTATTAAATACATGTGATAGCAACTGCAGTGCTGGAGTCTCATGCTCTAAATGTGGAAGACATCTTGACGAGAGAGGGTCTTGCTAGTCATTCTCACCATCACCATGGGCTGTGATTCCTGTGCTTCTCTGTAGTATAGTAACTTCTTAATTGTTAGTCAGAGTGATGTAGGTTTGAACTGTGTCTGCTTACAGCATACCTATGGTATTCCTGCCTTTCAGCCAGCAAATCCACCTTCATTGGTCATTTGTTCACCGGGTTAGCCTTCCCAGTTGGTTTCATGGGACATGGGGATAGCCTTATTTGTGCTGTGTCCCTTTACCTACAGGTGTTGCCCCTAGAGAACCCATTGAGGGCAGCCATACGCTGACTGGTCGGCCCTCAAGGAAAGATGGGTCCTTTTCATAACACGTAGAGAGATGCTCTGGTCGGGGCTCACCCAGGAAACATGTTTGATGTTTGCACATTTTTTCTGCCATTCAAGGTCCTTTTCATTAATGAAGAGCCTCAACAAGATGCTGTGGTCCTGGGCTCACCCAAGGAAACATCATGTTTGCACATAATGTTTGCACATGACTGTTTAATGTCACATCCATATGTTGAACTTCCCACTCATCGTAGGCTGCCATTAAACTGATATAAATAACATTACAATATTTTTAATATTTGATAAAATAAGTATGTTAATGTGTTTTCTTTTTCTTCTTTAGAATATGTCTTCATTTGGAAAGAATCGTGTCAGTTCTGCGTCAAGTAGTTCAGGAAACCAGCGTCCCAACACACCAAGTTCTGTGTCTCAGAACTCTAGTGGAAGGTAGGTGCATAATAATGTGTACCGTAAAGAGCTATAAATAATGAGTATTGTGTGATATGTACTGTCAGGCTATGAATAAACTATACTATGTGGTGTGAAAAGTACTATACTGTGTGGAGAGATGTGTACTGTTTGGTTATCTTCTTCTTCTTTGCGTTTACCATCTGTAAACTCTGGCTGAAAGTTCTGGTTGTTCATCCACTTCTGGACTGCAATCCAGTTCCAGAACCTGAGTTTTACGTGTGCATCCGTTTTACAGATCTGACTTATTTGTATGCAGACTGCTGGTTCCTTGCCTCTCAGGCAGATGCACTCCGACTTTAAAGGAAGCTCCAGTTAGTCGACTCTTACGACATGCTTTTTGGGGAGGCAGTGGGTCTATTCTTGTTTTCCCTATAACAGGGCCCGGAACCCATACGGGGATGTTTGGTTATGAATAAACCATACTCTGTTGTGTGATATGTACTGTTTGGTTATGAATAAACTATACTGTGTGGAGTGAGTGATATGTACTGTTGGGTTATGAATAAACTATACTGTGTGGAGTGAGTGATATGTACTGTTTGGTTATGAATAAACTATACTGTGTGGAGTGAGTGATATGTACTGTTGGGTTATGAATAAACAATACTGCGTGGAGTGAGTGATATGTACTGTTGGGTTATGAATAAACTATACTGTGCGGAGTGAGTGATATGTACTGTTGGGTTATGAATAAACTATACTGTGTGGAGTGAGTGATATGTACTGTTGGGTTATGAATAAACAATACTGCGTGGAGTGAGTGATATGTACTGTTGGGTTATGAATAAACAATACTGTGTGGAGTGAGTGATATGTACTGTTGGGTTATGAATAAACAATACTGTGTGGAGTGAGTGATATGTACTGTTGGGTTATGAATAAACTATACTGTGTGGAGTGAGTGATATGTACTGTCGGGGTTTAAATAAACTATACTATGTGGACTGATGTGTAGTGTTGGGTCATGAATAAATTATACTAGGTAGAGTGATATGGATTGTAGTTTAAAAAAAAAAAAAACTTTTTTATTTGGAGTGATAATACTGTTGGGTTATGAATAAACTATGTGGAGTGATATGTACTGTTAGGTTGTAAACTTCACTGTAGTGCTATCGAGATATAAGTAAACTATACTCTCTCTCTCTCTCTCTCTCTCTCTCTCTCTCTCTCTCTCTCTCTCTCTCTCTCTCTCTCTCTCTCTCTCTCTCTCTCTCTCTCCCCCCCCTCTCTCTCCCCCTTTCTCTCTCTCTCTCCACACACACACCTTCAAATTATAAAATACTTTTGTGTGTGTTTATGATAAGCTATAGTTAAGAGAGCAAAATGTGTACCTTAGTTATGCAAATGGTACTTTTGTGTTCTCTTTTTGGTTACCAGCAGTAGGTCATCAGTCGTGTCTGGCTGCGATGGCAATTATCCAGAAGAGGACTACATGTATGTGGAGAAACAACATGAGGTAAAGTCCTTTTTGGTAGAAATAGGATATTTCCATGGTCTCTTTTCTTGATGTTCACTTATCAGTTAATTGAAGATTGATGTATAAATAAGTACAGATTGGCTGTTTGTTTTCATGTATGTATATATCCAGCACACATCCATCAACACTAGGCAGGTAACACAGCTTACATTCCCACACGGTGGGTGGTGGATTCTTTATACAGGGGACTCTGTGTATACACCACACAATAGACAGGGGACACTGCCTATAACCCACACAGCAAACAGGGGACACTGCCTATAACCCACACAGCAAACAGGGGACACTGCCTATAACCCACACAGTAGACATGGGACACTGCCTATAACCCACACAGTAGACAGGGGACACTGCCTATACCCCACACAGTAGACAGGGGACACTGCATATAACCCACACAGCAAACAGGGGACACTGCCTATAACCCACACAGCAAACAGGGGACACTGCCTATAACCCACACAGTAGACATGGGACACTGCCTATAACCCACACAGTAGACAGGGGACACTGCCTATACCCCACACAGTAGACAGGGGACACTGCATATAACCCACACAGCAAACAGGGGACACTGCCTATAACCCACACAGCAAACAGGGGACACTGCCTATAACCCACACAGTAGACATGGGACACTGCCTATAACCCACACAGTAGACAGGGGACACTGCCTATACCCCACACAGTAGACAGGGGACACTGCATATAACCCACACAGCAAACAGGGGACACTGCCTATAACCCACACAGTAGACATGGGACACTGCCTATAACCCACACAGTAGACAGGGGACACTGCCTATACCCCCACACAGTAGACAGGGGACACTGCATATAACCCACACAGCAAACAGGGGACACTGCCTATAACCCACACAGTAGACATGGGACACTGCCTATAACCCACACAGTAGACAGGGGACACTGCCTATACCCCACACAGTAGACAGGGGACACTGCATATAACCCACACAGCAAACAGGGGACACTGCCTATAACCCACACAGCAAACAGGGGACACTGCCTATAACCCACACAGCAAACAGGGGACACTGCCTATACCCCACACAGCAAACAGGGGACACTGCCTATAACCCACACAGTAGACATGGGACACTGCATATACACTACACAGTAGGCAGAGGACACTGCATATACACTACACAGTGCCCGTCTCTCTAGCGTAGTTGGCTAAACCCGATTGCGCGGTGAGCGGGTGACGAACTCCTTGTGGTCCGGGTTCACTCCCGGGGGTGGGCAGAAAAGCCACATTTCTCCCAGATTTACGGAATCAAGGCCGAAAGGTTGCGATATCCATAATACCGAGCCTAAGGGTTAACAACTCATGGCTTCTGGTTACTAAAACAAACACTACACAGTAGGCAGAGAACACTGTATATACACCACACAGTAGACAGGGGACACTGCATATACACTACACAATAGACAGGGGACACTGCTTATACACCACACAATAGACAGGGGACACTGAATATGCACCACACAGTAGACAGGGGACACTGAACATATACACCACACAGTAGACAGGGGACACTGCATATACACCACACAATAGACAGGGGACACTGCATATACACCACACAATAGACAGGGGACACTGCATATACACCACACAATAGACAGGGGACACTGAATATACACCACACAGTAGAAAGGGGACACTGCATATACACTACACAATAGACAGGGGACACTGAATATACACCACACAATAGACAGGGGACACAAAATACATCTCTACACTGTAGGCAAGGAAAGATCATCACATCCCTACCTTACTTGATTTCATAATTCTTGATTTGTTTTAAACCCTCCAAATTCAAACTGTCCCCTTTTGGGTTTTTTTTTTTTTTCTGTTCCAAGGAGACCCGGTTGAAACTTCTCTCACCCTCCTACTCTAATAAAAGAAGCAGCAGCTGCAGTCTTCGGGTGTCTTCTGTCACAAATATTAGCCAGCATTCTGACACACCGCGACCTCTTTCAGCTGTTCTTACCTCCAGCAGCCTGCAGGTTTGTCCCTCCTGAAATATCTCATTGCCAGGGCTCATGTTCGTGCTGTTCTGCTTCTTGTGCCCTGCATTTTTGTTACTGGATGGTCATCTCTGTATAGTTGCATATTGAGTCTCTTTAGTGTTTACTTTCTGAATGCCATAAATGCCTAAATATTTCAGTAATCCATATATATACAGCACACATCCAACCAAGTCTTTTATATATATAAAAGAAGAAAAAATTCCAGTAAATTGAGAGATGAGGAAATGATGAGGGTGTTTGATAGGACAAAGACAGAGAAAACATGATAGCAGTATAAACCAGAATCTACTTGCACAGGGTCAAAGAAATAAAGGTCAAACTAAGAAATGACACCGAAGAGACTGAGGTGGAAAAGATAGGTGGTACGTAGGGTACATAGGGTACTTAGGGTGAACTGCATGGCAGTAGCAAACTATACGACCACTTGGCATGATTTTGTTGAGTCCCTGTGTTTCTCTAGGGTATAAAGAGGAGAAGAAGAAGAATGTTCTTTCTTTGTTTTTGATTATTTAAATGTATGTTCATATTTTGGAGACTGCAGATATGGGCTTTCTGAAATGCATATATCTTGGAAAGTCAACTAATATTGACTTTCTGGAAGAGGCAAATAATACTAAAACATATGTTGCTAGATGAATATGGCACAGTTTGTGTGTGTGATGAGTCAGTGGAGAACATTGTAATAACTCGATTGATCAGGTTCCCCGTATGGGTTCTGGGGCCCTATTATAGGAGGGAAAAAGAATAGACCCACTGCCTGCCCAAAAGCATGTCGTAAGAGTCGACAAATTGGGAGCTTCCTTCGAAGTCGGAGGGCATCTGCCTGAGAGGCAAGGAACCAACAGTCTGCATACAAATTAGTCAGATCTGTCAAAAGGATGCACACGCAACACTCAGGTTCTGGAATAGGAGGACTGCAGTCCAGAAGTGGATGAACAACCAGAACTTTCTGCCGGAGTTTACAGCCGGTGAACGCAAAGAAGAAGAAGAAGAAGATTGATCAGGTGTAAAGGAGGTGAAGGTCGATGAAGATAAATGACTTTTGATGGTCTAAGGTTGTGCCATGCAGAAATGTTTGTATAACTCATCTAAAGCACCAAGATAGAGGTCTGTGGAAAAGCTTTGTAGCCTGTGACATCTAGCGGGGCATTTAAAATTGATGAGATGTATATTATTTTACATATAGTCAGCCTTGAAGGATCAATCCCTGGTACTCTATTTAATGTCCATGAACCATATTGCTTGTATGTGTGTAAACTGGATTTCCTGTACAAGTTGACAATGTATTCTTTCATTCCTGTTGCAACCATTATCTTTTGTCTGATATCTTATCTCCTTTGTTTAAATGTATACTCTAACCCCATTAATAAAGCATGCCAAATTTGTAAAGAATTGCAGATAGTGGCTATGGGTTTCTGCAGCAAATGTTGCCAATACCTAAATGTTGCTGCTACAATACTAAACAATGATTGCTTGAAAGAAGATACTGTTGTATATAACTGTTAGAAAGAAGTGTATCCACAGCACTGTTCAGTATGGTAGTGAAACTTGGTCAGTTTTTTAATGCAGAGAGAAATACTAAATAACTTTCAGCTGTGATATTTGTGAAGAATACTTGGCAAAACAAGACAACAGACAGCTGAGATATTGGGAAGAGCAGGTATCACAACAGTTTCTCTGTGTGTTCTGTCTTTGAAGGCTGACATGGTTAGAACATACGTGGAGGATGGTAGAGTCACTGGTGAATTACAGATGAGTAGAAGATGTCAAAGTTGGCCTCTGATACAGTTTAAAAGATGTGTGCAAGCAAAACATCAATAAGTTTTGAGTTGGATATGTGGAACAGGATCCCATGAATTGCATTGCCTTGAGGGGAAATTAGTATGAGAATAGGGACAGGGGAGGAAATAAGAGTAGGGACAGGGGAGGAAATAAAAGCATTAAGAACTGAACATTTGATATGAAACATGACAGATACATTTGATAGCAAGAGGGATTCTAAAATGTCATGCACTAATTTATTGTGGAAGTCTTTTTAAAGTGAGCTTGTCTTGCTAGTCAGACTTGCCATGGCTGTGGTGTGACTTGCATGCCTCTCTATGACACCATAGAACATTATCATCTGGAAAGAATAGAAGGAGCCAGCATACCTTCATTGAAACTTAGAGTAATCTTGCAGTCCTTTTTAGGATGCAATTTTTCGTTATTTGAAGCCCTACTCTGGCTCTTGCCAGGGGCCGCAATTTAGCCTGGCCATAAATATGGCCTAAAGGCTGAACGCTGTTTCTGGGACCTCTCCACGTTGATCCTCACCAACATGGTGGCACATTGTGTCATCAGGTGTTTATCGCTTGTGTGATGTCCTGGTGGGGTAAAAATTCAGTCAGTCATTCATTGAAACTTGGAGGTGTGCATGATACTGCTTGACATTACTGGATGTGGTTGCTGATTGAATTGTTGCAGATTTGACATTGTAGTATTGGGATACACTATGCTCTTCAACATCTGCTGAAGTTAAAGTGTCTTTCTCGCAACACCAAGATCAAAATATATCAAACGTTGATAAGACCAGTTGTTTTATATGGCTCTGAAACTTGGTGCACAACTAAAAAAGATGAAGACTAATTACAGGTTTTCAAAAACAGTCTTACTATGAATGTTTGTACCCATAAAAGATGTAAACAGAAGGGAATGGAGAGTGAGAAGCAACAATGAAATTCATATTATGTTTAAATCACCATTGATCACTGGCATCATGAGAGCTAATAGACTGAAATGGTTGAGGCATATTGAGAGAATGTCAGATGACAGAGAAGTGAAAACTGTATACACACGGAAGATGAATGGTCATAGACCACGAGGCAGACCAAGAAGACGATAGAGAGATAACGTCCAGACAGACCTACAAACACTTGGTGTTACCAACTGAAAAGAGAAGGCCAACTAGGGAGCTCGGAATGCTGAAGAAGAATATATTGGGCTACATCATGATGCATTATATAAGTTATGTAGATTGCAACTTCTGTTGTCTCCTCTGCAACTTCTGTTGTTTCTTTTGTTTAAGATTATGTTGAGCATAAACCATTGTTTGTTAAATAGGCTGCTTTCTATTGTACCAAACTGCATGTCTACTTTGATGTGATATGAACACAGAACATACTTAACCTTTCTGTAACCAAAATCTTGCACACTTTGGGGAGCCATGCTAGCTCACTGGCTGGACACCCCACCCCTCCGGCTCAAATTTTTGGATTCAAATTCACATATATATTAACATTGGCTTCCAGCTAAATTCAGCCTAAAATGGGTACAAGGAATTTTTCTGGGAATTAAAAGTAGCTGTTCTGATCGCCCACTGAGTGCTGATTGGTCTATAACAGGGCTATTCAACTAAGCTGACCCAGGGGCCAAAATGTTCAAAAATGGGGATCGTCACGGGCCAAAAGCCCCAACCCTAGCATAGAAAGACCATAAATGCAATACAACTAGCAGTGAGCCGCCAGTTGAATAGCCTGGGTCTATAACAATAAGTGTTTAGCACCATATGCCTTGGGCACCCCCTGGCAAGAAAAGGGGTCCTTATTTTTTGTTGAATTCAGATCTCATCGATCTGGTCGTCTGAGCAGCGCAATACAGTGGTGGTTTTTTTTTAAAAATTATTTATTTATTTTTAAAAAAAATCCCTCCTCCCTTCCAGATTTGCAGTATGTAGGGGTAAACATCTCAGGGATGAGAATCAAACAGCTATAATACCCAGAAACCCGGTTGAGCCGTATAGCACTGTTATACTGGAGCTCCACAAATGGTTATGAAGTAACTTAAATTCCTGTCTGGGTGGGTAAGTTAGCTAGAAAAAGGACCCATCTCACAGTAAAACAGCACTGGTCTGTGCCTGGTACCCCGCTGGTCTGTGCCTGGTACCCCACTAGTCTGTCCCTGGTACCCCACTGGTCTGTGTCTGGTACCCCACTGGTCTGTGCCTGTAACCCCACTGGTCTGTGCCTGGTACCCCACTGGTCTGTCCCTGGTACCCCACTGGTCTGTGCCTGGTACCCCACTGTTCTGTGCCTGGTACCCCACTGGTCTGTGCCTGGTACCCCACTGGTCTGTGCCTGGTACCCCAATGGTCTGTCCCTGGTACCCCACTGGTCTGTGCCTGGTACCCCGCTGGTCTGTGCCTGGTACCCCGCTGGTCTGTGCCTGGTACCCCGCTGGTCTGTGCCTGGTACCCCACTGGTGTGTGCCTGGTACCCCACTGGTCTGTGCCTGGTACCCCACTGGTCTGTGCCTGATACCCCACTGGTCTGTGCCTGATACCCCACTGGTCTGTGCCTGGTACCCCACTGTTCTGTCCCTGGTACCCCACTGTTCTGTCCCTGGTACCCCACTAGTCTGTCCCTGGTACTCCACTGGTCTGTCCCTGGTACCCCACTAGTCTGTCCCTGGTACCCCACTGTTCTGTCCCTGGTACCCCACTAGTTTGTCCCTGGTACTCCACTGTTCTGTCCCTGGTACCCCACTAGTCTGTCCCTGGTACTCCACTGGTCTGTCCCTGGTACCCCACTAGTCTGTCCCTGGTACCCCACTGTTCTGTCCCTGGTACCCCACTAGTCTGTCCCTGGTACTCCACTGGTCTGTCCCTGGTACCCCCACTGGTCTGTCCCTGGTACCCCACTGGTCTGTCCCTGGTACCCCACTGGTCTGTCCCTGGTACCCCACTGGTCTGTCCCTGGTACCCCACTGGTCTATGCCTGGTACCCCACTGGTCTGTCCCTGGTACCCCACTGGTCTGTGCCTGGTACCCCACTGGTCTGTCCCTGGTACCCCACTGGTCTGTGCCTGGTACCCCACTGGTCTGTGCCTGGTACCCCACTGGTCTTTGCCTGGTACCCCACTGGTCTGTGCCTGGTACCCCACTGGTCTGTGCCTGGTACCCCACTGGTCTGTGCCTGGTACCATACTGGTCTGTGCCTGGTACCCCACTGGTCTGTGCCTGGTACCCCACTGGTGAAACGAGGGTTGTGTATTTTTTTTCTCAGCCTGTGTTACTGGAGGCTTTCAGGGAAACAAAAGAATACTAAACACTGTTTCTTACCATGTGTGTCATAAGAGGCAGCTGAGGAGCATGGTGAGAGACTATATATATATATATATATATATATATATATATATATATATATATATATATATATATATATATATATATATATATATATATATGTATATGTATATGTGTATATATATATATATATATATATATATATATATAGGGAATTGTAAATTATGAGGCTCCCCAATCTCTTCCATGGTGCAACTCTCATACCATTGTTTGAAAACCATGAGAATGGATATGTTTCCTGTCCACCTTGTTAAACGAAGTCCGGCACTTGATACCTTACTTCAAAGCAGCTGAATCCAACCACTTGTGAACAGATAATTGCGGTCTGGCATCAGTTAGCTGAACACCTATGCTCCACTGGGAAATAACATCCAGAATATGTAGAAAATGTTTATTTGTAACACTATTTTTCTTAGTATTATCTTAAAAGTGGAGGTTATCTATATGCATCTGCTGCCATTTTTCTGAATATTGCATGACTCTTTTACCACTGTCTCAGCCATGTAACTGTTCTGATTTATGTGAGTAGTTTTCAGTATACAGTATGTAACAACTAATGATTTTATTTAACAGTGTTTTCTGTTCGTTTCCCTGCAGTGTTCACAAGGTGGGCGGGAATCGGGAACAGAAGGTAAATCATGTTTCCATCTATTGTTTGGGAAGATTATGTCATTAAAATTGAAGTTGAGAGAAAAAAACTTTATTGCACTTGGTTTTATTCTGTGTGGCTCAATCTCTGTTAGCAAAATAGTTTGCCACCTGCCTGCAGCATTGCATAAAGCACCATCGCTGTATATGCAGCCACAGTCCCCAGGGATCTCTGTAGATCCAGGTGGCAATCCCTGGGGTCTCAATAAAAACTACACTCATGAGCTCAGGGATGCAGTCTGTCATGGAACCTGCATTCTTCAGTGCATAGACACCCCTACCCCCCCTAACCCCCACGCACTTTTTTTAAAGCATACACACCACACACTGTCTCTCACTCACCCACTTTCTCTCTGTCTCTTACTTTCTTTCTCTCACTTTCTTTCTCTCTCTCTTTTTTAAATTAAATATGGTAAATCTGGCATTTTCTTGTTATATGTCTTTCCCTGTACTAGACACCGTCAAGTTAATGTCTCAATATTTTAAAAAAGGCTATGACATTGAGACAATTTGAAATATAAGTTATTTTTTAATCTTCTTTATAAAATAGTTATTTTTTAATCATTATGTAATAGTTATTTTTGAATCATTATACAATAGTTATTTTTTAGAAAGTGTCAACACAGAAAGGTGTCAACACAAAAAGGTGTCAACACAAAAAGGTGTCAACATGGAAAGGTGTCAACACAAAAAGGTGTCAACACAGAAAGGTGCCAACACAGAAAGTGTCAACACAGAAAGTGTCAACACAGAAAGGTGTCAGCACAGAAAAGTGTCAGCACAGAAAGGTGTCAGCTCATAAATTGATACATGCTGTTGGCATTTGTTGTGTATGAGAAGACATGATTGTATGGTGGTGATGATGCATTGCTGACCTTTTTACAATCATTTTAAAATGTCATTACTGCTTGTATTTGCCACATTTGCTGTGTGAAAGGGGAGTCGGGTCTTTGAGGCCTGAACATACAGGGCCACATATCTAGTGTAGTCGTCACAGACTAGGTTATGATTTTATTTCTTGCTCATTTAAAAAAAAAAATAAACATAATGTTACCGATCTTTCATACCTGTGTCTGCTGCATGAGAGCCTGCATTCTAAACCATTCGGCCAGCCTCTCCTTTTTTTTTTAAAGCAATGATTGTGAGAGCTTTCCAGCTGCAAGGGTTTATTGTAAATGAGTCAACTAACAAGGTTCATTTTTTTTTTGGCGGTGCTTGATGTTAAACATTCAGTTCATAACATAGTCACATATGATGGTTTTACATTGATGTCACATATGATGGTTTTACATTTATGTCACACATGATGGTTTTACATTTATGTCACATATGATGGTTTTACATTTATGTCACATATGATGGTTTTACATTTGTGAAGAAATAAACCATTTTGCTAAAGTTAATTAATTTACTATTGCTTCTAGATTTCCCAGTGGCTAATGCACCACCTCCACCACCTCCAAGGCAGAAGAGTTCTCCAGGTACATGTCTGTTGCACTCTGATTTCATTCATTATTACAGTTTTTCTTCTTTAACCCAGCATAAAAAGATGGCATGTGTGTTGGTTTTTCCTATTCTTTCGTGATTGCACTTCTACCAGGTTGTAGCCCAGTTGTTGTATGCTGAATTCTGGCAGTGTAGGACTAGGATATGATCTTCGCTTGATAACTGCAACTTGCAAGCAGTCAAGAAAACTGTAATTTAAATCTGTGACCTCCAGGCTGACAAGCAAGTGTGGTAACCTCTACAGGTTTTTTTATGGCTTCATATCCTCCCCCCCCCCCCCCCCCCCAATAAAGGCAGTCTTTCAGAAAAAAAACACCTTCAAATGACATTATGGTCTCTTTGTTGCATCAGACATATAGTGCTAGACTTATATTTTGTCTTTTAGTCTGTCAGCACTTGATGTGAGATGTGGTCAGTATCATGCAGGCAACCTTTACTTCCCAGGACATGTCCTGGTACCCATTTTAGTCTGTGCCGACCTGGGAGCCAAAATCAAATTTGAAAAAAAAAATCTGCCTCAGTGCAGATTTAAAGCACATCAACCTCTGGGCCAATAGGCAAGCACCTAGCCATTATGCTAGGGCTGCTCCATGTTAATGTCAGTCAGAAATAGGAATAATTGAAGTCAAAAATAGGGATCATTCATTGAAGTCAAGCTGATGTCAAGCAGTCAGTTACTGAACACAGTCTAGTCTGTGACTAGGCCTCATTGGGTGGGCGGGAGGGAGTGGAGAGAATACAGCCACTGCCTCCCTGACAAGCATGTCCTAGAAGGTGGACTAATTAGAGGAGTGTTGAATTTGGAGGGCATCTGTCTAAGCGTCAAAGAACTATCAGTCTGCATGCAAATAAACCAGATCTGTGAAATGAATATGCACACAAAACGCAAGTTCTAAAACAAGACCAGACATTGTCCAGAAATAAATGAACAGCCAGAACAGGGTTTACAGCCCATGGACACAAAGACTAGAAAGCTGAACAAAGAGAAAGAAAAACACACATAAAATACAATGAATTGTATAAACTAACTTGCTCAACAAAACAAATGATAAATGCAACTAAGCAGTGTGAGCTTGTAGTGATTGTGTGGTGTTACATTACCTATAGAGACAATCATCAGCTTCTTTTGTTTCATAAGTTTAATTTTCAAATTTGTTTTTCTTGGACAAATACATCAATAGGTTTTATGGAGTCCCCAAATATATCATTGTGTGATCAGGCTCCTCCGATACCATCTCGGAAAAACACCAGAGTGAGTACATTTGTCACCATTTGTGTGAATGGGTGCGTACATGTGCATATGTGTTTGTATGCGCGCGTGCATGTGTGTATGTTTTCCACTGATACTACTCACTCACATTGTTACCGTATATTTGTTTAGTAAGAGATGAAAGAGGTGGGGTGGCTGACTGTTAAGCTATTTACAGTGTTGTCGACACTTTCAACACTAGATCTTTTTGGAAGATATATGTAGAAGTCTTTAATAGCTGGTAAATAACTTATTATATAAGCAACCCCAGGTTGGAAAGTTGTGTGTCATTCTTCTTCTTCTTCTTCTTTTTTGCGTTCACTGGCTGTAAGATGGAAAGTTTTGGTTGTTTGTCCACCTCTGGACTTTAGTCTTGTTCCAGAACCTAAGTGTTGTGTACACATCCAGCTTACACATCTAGTTTATTTGAATGTAGCTGTTGGTTCCTTACCTTTCTAACTTTGAAGGAAGACCCCAATTAGTCAACTATTGCGACCTGCTTGTTGAGCAAGCAGTGGGTGTCATCTTGTTTTCTCCACTGTGGTGTCCCAAAACCCACGCAGCGAGTTTTCTCATTTGCATATTACCATGCAGACCTGATCAGGAGAACTCACAGGGGACCCAAAAAATAGTTCTCTTTATCAGAAATTCCTCTTATCTACATAAGAATTCAAGTAAGAAGAATTGCAGGGATAAATAAACTGTTCTTCACAGCAGAAATTCGCCACATCTGAGATTGCCTTAAGTGGTCTGTACTGTAATGTCATTTACAGTACAACTTTGCCTGTCATAGAACAGCCCTGTTCAGTCACAAATCGTCAGTCACAGCTATCCACTAACAAGCTTTACGTAATTAGGAGTTTGCTCAGATCAGGTGTATTGCCCCAAAAGGTGCAGATAGTGCAGCCTAGCTGTAAACCGCATCAAAGTATGCCAGCAGCCCTTTTTAGCTTGAACAAAGAAGACAAAGGAAGTCACTTACGCCACTATACTGCCAGAGAATAGGGATGTGGTCAAACAGTTTTGTCATGGGTACAGTTATATCAACTTAACAGCGTTAATGATAGAGTTACTATTGTGATTGATGCTAAGACAATTTGTTAAATTTCAAAATAATATAAATGTGTTCCTGTTTCAGACCTCTTTGTCATTTTCCGAGGAAAGACAGTCAGTTCTTTCCATTAACAGATCACAGTCCACAAAATCGATAGGTTCTGGAGAAACACTTACTCCTCCACCACCGAGACCTTCACGTGGGATATCTGTGTTACCTTCAGCTACCACTTCAGTTGGAAACATTGAGGAGTCTACACAAGCTATACCACCCATCCCTAATAAGAGGCAGTCATCACCTCTTTGTAACAGAACATTTAGTGGTAGCAGCTTGAGTATCAGCAGCAATTCAAGCTTGGGGTATAACAATTTTAGTCATTCAACCCCCAACAAGTCTACCAACAATCATGAAACAAACTCAGACAATCTGAACTTGTCTCTGCGCAAACTTCCTCAGCAAACATTATCCTCGTCATCACCACAAGAAGATGCCCCACCACCAATTGTTGCACGAAGTTCATTACACAAGGACAGTCCACTGTCTCCTTCCTTAGTCACTTCATCATCTTCCTGTGAACAATCACCGCTGCCGTCAAGGTCTTCGTCATCTTCCCTGCCCAGAGAACACCCAACACCACCTACTGCAACATTGTCACCGTCGCCAGCTTATAAAGCTTTGAATAGTGTTCCAGCACCACAGACAGGCTCTAATAAAGGTCCTCCACCTGTGCCGCAAAGAAAACCTTCTGTCACACATTCCTAGTTTATTCCAGTGTGCTATATAGCAATGGTTCGATACACTTTCCTCATCTCCTCCAGTGTGCCAAAGTGAAAAAATTTGAAACACTTTTCTCAGCTCCTCCAGTGTGCCACAGTGAAAACATTTGAAACACTTTCCTCAGCTCCTCCAGTGTGCCACAGTGAAAACATTTGAAACACTTTCCTCAGCTCCTCCAGTGTGCCACAGTGAAAACATTTGAAACATCTTCCTAAAGTCCTCCAGTGTGCCACAGTGAAAACATTTGAAACATCTTCCTAAAGTCCTCCAGTGTGCCACAGTGAAAATGTTTAAAACATCTTCCTAAAGTCATCCAGTGTGCCACAGAGAAAACATTTGAAACATCTTCTTAAAGACTCTCCAATGTGCCAAAGTGAAAACAATTGAAACAACTGCCTAGGGTCATCCAGTGTGCAACAGAGAAAACATTTGAAACATCTTCCTAAAGTCTCTCCAATGTGCCACAGTGAAAACATTTAAAACATCTTCCTAGGTCCTCCATTTTGCTGCTATATAGCAAACATTTAAATCTGCCCCAGAAAGTGTATACATGTTTATCACATTTCATACGTGGACTTTTTGAAAATCAGATAGAATTATGGTAGCAGTGCTGTGAACGATGGTCACTCAAAAGTTATTGTACTCATACAATTATTAGTGCTCACACATGATTGGAAGGACAGTTAAGGAAAGACACTTAGCCAATCTCGCTGAGCCAGTGTTGCCAGAGTAGATATTTAGTGCTTGGGTGCTGTTGGTAACAACTAGGAGAGTCTCGTGTAATGGTAAAAGCCAAAGATAGCGTTCTCATCTTTGACGTCTGTGTACATTTAGCAACAGTCATCTATTTCAGGTTCTTTGTTGTTTTCCAGACATGTGTATACACATTTTACACATGCTATCTCTCTCTTTGTCTCTCTCTCTCTCTTTTTCTCTCCCCCTCTGAGAATGGGGAGAGAGAGATTGTATAGATACATATAAACTTGGCTGCATGGCTGGAATTCATGTGCACATTAATAAGTGAGCCAAGACAAAGGATGCAGCTTGATCTTGGCATGTTTCTTTTAGAATTGCTTAGATCATCAGAACTATCCAAGTTGGGCAATAGATCATCAGAACTATCCAAGTTGGGCAATAGATCATCAGAACTATCCAAGTTGGGCTATATAGATCATCAGAACTATCCAAGTTGGGCTATAGATCATCAGAACTATCCAAGTTGGGCAAAACATTCACCCAACCATCTTGTTGTTGCCTGATTATTTTTAATAATAATTTAGCTTGATGTTAAGTAAGTAACGGCCCCTTTTCCCCGCCTTCAGATATTTTGGGCATATAGGGCTAGACCTGTATTTTACAGACCAATCAGCACTCGGTGGGTGGTGTGGTTGACATTACGCCGGCTGTCTTTACCTGGTACCCATTTAAGGCTGGGTCAACCTAGAAGCCAAGGTCATTTTAAAAAAAACCAAAAGACTGGCCCCATTAGGATTTAAACGCAAGACCTTTCCAGTCTGCAGGCGAGCATCTAGCCACTACACCACTGCGGTTCACAATTTGATTTTACATGAGTGATTTGTTTCTTGGATTTTTTGTTTGTATAATTTATAGTTAGCATGTTATTTGCATTCTTATTCATTTGGCTGGTACAAATGATAGGAAATTGTTGTGTAAATAGAATGAGCCAGGTCAAATATTAGCTTTCATAATAATGTTTTATTTTTATTCTGAATTGAGTAGAATGTGTATATATAGTTTTTAATATGAGTTCATATGGTTTAGTTATGAAGACACCCAGTTTTAAGTGAAAACTATGCATTTCTGTTTTTATTTTGTTTTGTTGTTTCTTGTGGTTCAGTTTTACTGTTGAAATCACACAGTCATACAGTTTATTAGAAAGCAACACATGGGATGGTTTGGCCATCTGACAAGAATGCCTCGGTGGCAGCAGCCATATAAAGCTGTGCTGAAGAAACAAAATAAACACAAGAGCAAGGCAAGACCATGCACACAATGAAACAACAGCTTCAAGAACAGCCTTCAAGACATGAAGATCATCATGTGCAGCACATTAATAAGAACACTCAGAAGATCATATCTCTCTGCCCAACATGTTAATGAGGTAACTAAGAAAAGAGATGCTGTTAAAGGGGAAAGCTAGACAGTTATGTGTATTGTATTCAGTTAGTGCTTGTGGTTTAGTTTTACTGTTAGAGACAGATGCATAAGGAGTGTGCTGGCTGCAGTCAGTCATGGCCTGATTGCATTCCTCAATGCTTCTCTAATGATGTGAAGAATGAGCATCTGTCTTGCATACCCCTAACTAATGGTTCCTGCACCTGGAGGTGATAGTTTGGTACCCTGTCAGGGAAGGTGGTCTGTTGTGCAGCAGCTTTTCTGCATTAGGGGCAAGTCCCTTTTTTCTTGGGCACTAATCACCTACATGCCACAGCATGGTTCATGCATCAAATGTAGTAGTTGCAGCTTATCTTTCAGAAGGTTCACAGACCAACCATTCTTCTTCTTCTTCTACTTAGCCTCTCATGCATGCTTCCTTTATTTTTCAACTTAGGTGAAAAACTCTACCTGGACACCAGCAGTGGTGTAGTTACTGTCATCGACGCAACATGCACAAGTGCCACGCTGCTGGCTAAATCATATATGACTGCACAAGTAAGATCATCTGCTGGGAAGTTCTGGATGTTCATCCACATCTGTACTTTGGTCTTGTTCCAGAACTTGAGTTTTGTGAGCACATCCGTTTTTGCACAGCTGGCTTATTTGTACACAGACTGTTGGTGTCTTGCCTCTCTGGTAGATGTTGTCAGATTTAGACGGAAACGTGGCTGCTTGCTACGTTGGCCAGGCTCTCAGTAGACCTGTTTCAAGGTTGACCACAGAGAGATGTAACTAGGTTTTGACCGGTTGGTGTTATGGTCCTGAAGCAGGCCTTTGCACCCCACACCAACCATTCAAGCAGCCACAATCACATGCTACATGTTGTGATCGAAGAGCCCAGGATTCAACACAACCACAACAAATAGTAAAATGTTGTGAGTGAAGAGCCCAGGATTCAACAACAGCACAACAAATAGTAACATGTTGTGATTGAAAAGACCAGGATTCAACACAACCACAACAAATAGTAAAATGTTGTGATTACTTAGGATTTTAATCAACCAAAGCTATACACATGTAATGCAAAAATCAAAAAGTTGTTTTGCCCTAAATTAGTCCTGCCACCTTATGTGTAACATATAGTTGCTTTGAATAGTTTGTTTGATGGCAATATCAGCAAAACTTGTAGTTCAAAACTTCAAAACCCTCGAGGTGAGAAAGAAATGAACAAGCTATTTTCTAATGTTTGTGAAATGGTCACGTAGGCTTCATTAACATTCTGGCCTCCTGTCTCTCTGTAACTGTAATATTGAAATGTTATCTCCTATTAATTATGTTCATATTTAAGAAGAATAGCAATCATAAATGCATTATAAGCGCTTGGTAAATTTGCAAGAATCAGTTACATTATTATTAATAACTGCAGCATTTCTCCTGTCAGATTGTGTTACAGATAAACATTCTCTTATTTGTGAAAGCTTTCATACATCATGTGTTCATGTACATTTATTGTTTTATGACTTCAGTTGAATATTTTTGTTTTTAATGAAATGAAAGCAATAATGGCATGTCTTTGTTGCCACTGAGAGTGACCTTTGTCGAAGTATAAAAGCAATCTTTTATTAATTCTCTGAAACTCGACTCAGAGAAACGAAGGGAAAACAAGCAGAAGAGATTTGGAGTATCAGTCAATTTTTTTATAAAAGTCTAGATGGTTGAACTGTTGGACAACTAAGCAGACAGGAGAATGTGGAGGCCACTGCTTCATCACAGCGGTCAGGACGCTAACAATTATAATTTTTGGTTTTTTTATCATTCATTGTAATTCCTGTGCACCACATTGGGATAGGAAAATAATCGATACACACAGAGCAAAGAATTAACTTGCTTACCTCCCCTTGGACCATAATAAACATTGTTTTGTTGGAGGGGGGGGGGGCGAGCATGTTATGACATCAGAAGAGTTGGAGTGGAAGAGAGCTAGGGTGAGACTTAGAGAGAAGTCTGAGATCATGGCATAGTTAAATATCTGTATCAGAAATGATTTGCACAGAGGACTGGCTAAGGAAGCAGGGTTGGTCCAAGACTGCCCATTGTGGGATGTGTGCTCAATCCTTGGTAAAAAAAACATCTTTTGTACTACATGTTTGCAAAGGCAAACTTCCATTACTCCTCAGCTCGGCTAAACACTCTTCTTTTATAGCAGCAGCATTGCAACAGATACTGTCATCAACACATAAGCAATGCTACAGATACTGTCATCAACACATAAGCATTGCTACAGATACTGTCATCAACACATAAGCATTGCTACAGATACTGTCATCAACACATAAGCAATGCTACAGATACTGTCATCAACACATAAGCAATGCTACAGATACTGTCATCAACACATAAGCAATGCTACAGATACTGTCATCAACACAAAAGCATTGCTACAGATACTGTCATCAACACATAAGCATTGCTACAGATACTGTCATCAACACATAAGCATTGCTACAGATACTGTCATCAACACATAAGCATTGCTACAGATACTGTCATCAACACATAAGCATTGCTACAGATACTGTCATCAACACATAAGCATTGCTACAGATACTGTCATCAACACATAAGCATTGCTACAGATACTGTCATCAACACATGAGCATTGCTACAGATACTGTCATCAACACATAAGCATTGCTACAGATACTGTCATCAACACATAAGCATTGCTACAGATACTGTCATCAACACATGAGCATTGCTACAGATACTGTCATCAACACATGAGCATTGCTACAGATACTGTCATCAACACATAAGCATTGCTACAGATACTGTCATCAACACATGAGCATTGCTACAGATACTGT